ACAATATTTTCAAAAATAATAATCACAAGAATTTTAAGCATTTTCACTTTTATTTATCAACATTAAGTACTTCTTCATCCATATTTTATTAAAAGAAATTCAAACATTAAATGCTATTTTTCTCATAGAAATGTTAAAGCAAAGCAGGAATGGAAAGAACCAGAGTCAATTTGTTTCATGTCGTACAGCATATCCAGGCACAGTTATCTCTAACTGATATAATCTTTGGAGATATTAAATATGGAAATATTCCATATCAAATAAGAAATTGAGACACCAAATTGGTCATGCATAATATATAGTCTCACATGTAAGTATATATTAGAGATTTTTAATCTTGAACACAGAAATAGCAGATTATCAATTGTTGCTTTCACTTTGCTATTTAATTTGGTAATGCGTGATTTAAAACTACCATTCGAATCAAAGGTCACTTATAAATAATCAACCTCCTTGACTAACTGAAGGGGTAAATTTTCTAAATACAGTTTGGATTCTTTTTCTGAGATTTTATTATTATTTCTAAAAATCATCATCTTTGTTTTATTGAGATTAATTAATAGATGCAACAATTTAAAAATAAGTTGATTAATTTTTCTTTGCAAAGAAATTTTTGTTGGTGCCATAATAACTAAGTTATTTGCAAATAATATATAATGAAAAGATCTTCCTGCAATTTCAATGCCATCAGTGGCATTTGTAAAGAGTTGATCAATCCCATTCAAATAAAAATTAAACAAGAATGGAGAAAGCAGATTGCCCTATAGAATTCCACAAGATAATTTAAATGAAGGAGATAAGTTGTTTCCTTGAATGATACTAGTATTAGTCTGAAGAGAACTTAAGCACTGTATAGGAAAACTTTGCATGCTCCTTTGTCTCTCAAATTTTGAACCAAAAGTGGTACATAGATTGCATCAAAAAGCTTTCAATATCTATGAAAGCAGTAAATAATTTCTTATGTGTTTTGGACAAGTGGAGTTGAATTATTAATAGCAGCAAAAATATTGCAGATTCTATACCTCTGTTTTTTACATATGCGTATTGAAATTTGGATTCTAATTCCATTTCATTGGTCCATTGTTCAAATTTTTTTGTTAAGATTGCCGTAAAATGTTTTCTTAGGGTAGGTAGAAGAGCTATCATTTATTAATTATCAGGGAAGAGTTTATCTCCTCTTTCAAATATCATGTAGAGCCAAATGGAATTCCAGGAAGCAGGATATAAAAATTTGTCGTACATTTTGTTAAATAGACCAAGTTACTTAGACCTTGCTGAATTAGGTAGTAATTTAAGAAATCTAAATCGGAATATGATCACTTCCCAGTGATGAATTACTCTGCATCCTATTGATTGAGTCAATTAATTCTTCCATTGTAAATTTTGAATCTAAATATTTGTTATGAAATATTTTTATAATTGAAGGTAATTGACTAGAAGGAATTTTTGAAAACCGTCCATAGAAATTTAATCAAGATTCAAAATTTATTGTTGGAGAGTTGTTGCTGGAGTCAATGTTAATCCAGAATTTTCGAATTGCTGACCAAAAATGCTTACTTTTTCCTTTATCATTTATTAGAGTAGTTTCAAAGTTTACAAAGTATCTTTTCTTTTTTACTTTCAGTAAGCTATATATTTGCTTTGTTTTTTTTGTAATTAAAAACGTTTTGATTATTTGAATTTTTTCTTTGAATTTTTGAATAATTTTAGATTTTTTTGTTTTAATAATTTCATTTTATAGCAATCAAAATCAAACCACAGTTTTTTAAATTGAATAGGTTGGCACAGTAGCTTGTGTATAAGGGGCATTGATGCTATTAAATTTTGGTGGTTAAAGGTTAAGGCGGTGAGGAGATAAAGGAGTCAATTGAATAGGTTGGTTTTTCACATTTTTAATATAGTTATTATGGGAAAAAACATACAGGAAGAAAGCAGGAAGAAAAAACATTTATTTTTATGTATAAATTAAATCACAAATAAGATATATGAACTAATCTAAATATATAAAATTACTTGTCCTAACTGACTGACTCCTCATTGCCCAGAGCAGACCTCTGAACCTAGAGGTGAAATTTGGTACACAGTTAGGGTATGTCATGAAAATGCACACTAAAACGGAATTTTTTGAAATTCCCTTTTAGGAGAGGATTAAGGCTTAACCTGAACAATGGCTTCTACTGTACTATTTTAGATGTGATTTTTTGTTTTCAGCTACATTTAATCTTCATTGAGTACTTAGGTGTATTAAATTGATAATATTTCATTGTTACAAATATTTTTATATATTTCGATTTTTTAACCAAATGTTCGTCCTTCAAAAGTACCGGAGAATTTGAGAAATGCCTTTACGGTCTCAAATTTGCTGATGGGAAAACCCCTACCTATACCTCCTAGTGTGGGACATAATGCCTCCGGTGAAGGATGGGCAACGTTGGTAAGACGGCTAACATAGGAGGGGACCGAGCAGGAGTCAGGATAAACTTCTAACTTCATTCTTGTGATGAAGAAGGGCAATCTCTTGTCCTAGGAGTAAGAAATTGCTCCTTAAGGCGGATNCTATGAGAATACTACATTACCTTTGTACAATGTCTTAAACAATACATTGTCAAAACTGTGCAGCAATTTGCCATAGGTATGCCCTCCAAAGGGTGTAAAAAATAAAATAATTTTTAACGATACAATAGCCACGATTATTATTTTTAAAAGTTTACGTTAGGCTTAACATCGACGAAAATTCAACGCAAAGCGTCACGCAACGGAAAAAAATTTCAACATGGGATAGGTTAATTTTTTTTTCATACATAATCGGTTATCCGAAAAATAAGTTATCCAAACAACCCCAGTCCCCAATTGATTCGGATAAACAACACTCTACTGTATTGTAATTCATCATTTTTAATTCATGTGATGGATATTTTACATTTTCCTCAGATATCTCACATAAATCATCATTTATATTTACACTGCATGAATTAATTTTTGAAGCCCATTGTTGAAATGTTCAAACTGCAGGTAATGTGATATTCATTTGATTTTTTAAGTTTCATTTCAATTAGTGGGTTTAAAAAACAAAAATTTTTTCGAATAATAGATATTTTCCTGAGAGTGCGAGAAAATCCGCTGTAATATAATGGATTTTCGGAACAAAGAATAATTTTTGGTGTCCTGATCAATCCATTAAAACAAGATTCTATTGTATTTAAAAAATTCAACCATATACTAGATATGCAATTACATCACATATGTATAGGATATTATCAATTCTAAAACACTTAGAATCATACTGATGATTGGTGTACTTTTTGTTTTCATTTCATCAGGTTTTCTCATTCCGTCTTCATATCATATTTAACATGGTCTGATAACAAGCATGCCAGCTATCCATACCAATCAACATTTATTAAAACTGCAGTACTATTTATTTATTCTTTATTCCAAATTATATAAAATGAAAGATTAAATTGCTATATTTATTCATGTCCAGAGTGGATTCATTTATACTAATTCAATTCTTTAATTGAGAATTAATTTAAATTAGTTTAAACTTGACAAAGCAGGATTAAATAGCTCTAACTCTGGGACTATCTTAATTATATAGGGGACTATTTAACTATATAGTTTGTGCTTTGAATTTAGCATTTTATGTTCTTTCTTCTGTACTAGATCTAATGCAAGAAACTGTACAGTTAAAGAATGTTTGTCTTTGTTAAAATATATTTTGTATCACAAATATTATATATTTACTTTGATCTTATCCATAAAAAATAAAAAATTTTGTAAGTAAAATGAAAATTTCAAGTAATATCTCCCTACTTAGAATTATTTAGTTAATAACATTATAAAGTAAAATATCTAAGGCAAAAAATATGTGCACTGTCCAAGCACTGAGATATTACAGATGAAAGTGAATAAATAATACATTGTAATCTGTAAACAATGAGCAAATCTCAAAATCCTTCATTAAATCCTGAAATCATTAAATCCCATACCAAGTATGTGGATATACTGTTTTAGTTTACAGCTAAGTCATATTATTCTATTTTATTTCATATTCTAATTTTAAAAATAATTACCACAACAGATTTTTTTCCATGAACTGTACAAACAAGCTGACCAGATTCTTTACAAAATATTGATGTTGTGCCATCTCCATTTTCAACTATTTTAAACATTTTTTCAGTATGTACCTGGAAATAATTAAAAATAATTAAGCTTATTTGACAATGAAATGAACTTTAAAATATATTTATACTGCATATAATACCATATATANGTAGTTTATCCTGTTATTAATCCACAACTGTAAAATTATATGGCTTCAAAACAATGAAAAAAGCCATTTCAAAACAGATTCTGGTATATTTTCTTATTAAAGATTGTAGCATTAACTTTTTGCCACATGTAGATGGTTACACTTGGTCAGCCATATTCAGCAAACAAAATCAACAAGGCAGCGAAGGAGACAAATTCCCCGACTTTTTGACAATTTTTGACACTTTCCATAACTTTTTCTGAACACTAATGAAAATCCCTGATTTTCCAGGTGCATAGGAACCCTGTACCTAGATTTCACAACTTTTACGTAGTTTTGTAGGAAGGTATATATATATATCACTGGTTAAAAAATGATTTTAACCAGTGATATTGTTGGGGAGACTTATTATTTTATAAGTGGTAAACAAGAATATAAAATATAAAATTATTATTATTAACAAGTAGCAACATACCTATTGATACACTAAACTTATAAGTCATTATTTAGTATTTGGCTTGCAAACTTATTATTAAACTCAAAAACTATATTATAACCTTATTATTTTTTCAATCACTAATATGCATTTATATTCATAAATAAATAAATAAATAATTACTACTTGATATTATACTGGCATTTTGTATGTGAATACATATCAAAACGCCAGTATATAAATTTTTAAAAACTGTAAGATAATTTTATATTAAAAATTTAAAATAAAATTTCATACAAAAAATATAATTACAGAAATTATTGTAAAATGAAACTCCATCTTCATAAGATCCAATCTTTTCTTTTTGAAATGGTCTACTGACACCCTAAAATTAAAAATTATTTAATAATTATTATTCAAATTATTACTGCATAGTTTAAATAAATTTTTCTAGTATTCTTGATTTTATAAAATAAACAACAAATATTACAAATATAAAAAACTGAAATGAATTCTCTTATGGACTGAATCCATTCAAAAATTAAATGGTAAAAAAATTAAATAACTGATGGAAATAATTATTTTTCACTACAGAGAATATTCTGTTATTGTTAAAACTTGTTTTATAGAATTTCTTTTTTCAATAATTGTTAATAACAATACATTTTCCACAAAATTAGGTTAAATAGTTTTTAAAAATTTAGACAGCAAAATAAACATTGTCTTTTATACAGAAGATAGTTTCTATGCTTCTGATGGATATGTAACATATTTTAAAATTTATTTCGGAGAATTTACAAGCAGATAAGAATTTGCAAAGATAAAATAAAAAAATAGAGAAAATTTTGAAATGCCAATAAACTTTACTGCAATCAACAAATAATTTCAACTGCTTAAATACATAGGTTATTCAAAAAGTAAGACAACAAGAACTCTCCTGTACAAATTTTATTTCATAGGCAGATACAGGGTGTCCCAAAAAATCTACACACACTTTTAACAGCTAATTTAGAAAAAAAAAAAAAAAAAAACACCAATTGAACTATTTCCAGGTTAAACACATTAGAATCAATAATGCTTTGAACAAAGCATTATTAATTCTAATGTGCAGACTAAGCTTTGAACAAAGGAAATTCATTCTAAAATGCTACTGGGGCACCCCCACACTACAATTATGATGTTAGATCCTACCTTGATGAAATCTTGCCAAACCGGTGGATTGGATGAAGGGGTTTTGTAGAACACCCTTTGCATTCACCAGACCTCACCCAGACTTTTTTTTATGGGGATAATAAAAGATAAAGTCTATGCTATGAAACCTGCAACAGTTGCTGAATTGAGAGCATCCATTAAACGAGAATGCACACAAATACCAAATGAAATGTTTCAAGATGTTTGCGATTTCATTGCTCTGCATTGTAAGCAGTGCCTGGACCAGAACAGATGTCAGTTTGAAAACAGGAATTGACAAAACAATTAAATATCATCTGTAGATTCTATTACATTTTGAAAATGAAATGTATTTTAATAAACACAGACTTTATAATTATTTAAAGTGTATATACATTTTTTTGGGACATTCTGTATAGTGATTAGTTATGTGCCGGATCGTTAAAAATGTATATCCGTGGATACGGATACAGATATGGATCATTAGTGTCTAGATCCGCAGATATGGATATGGATCTCAACTTTCGTACTCAGTCGGTGCCGGTGCTTGTGACCTTGGACCGATAGTTGACGCTTTGCATTAGTAACGCGACATGTTTTGACTTGCACTACGCGTGTTTTTGTTTATAGTTTAGAGTGACACGGGATAGCATAGATTACGTTTGTATCTTTGGAGAGTGTTGAGTTAAATTAAAATAAAAACAATGTCGACAAAATGTTTAGTGGTGTAATATGGAAATATTTTAAGATAGTAAATGAATTTTGCATGATAAAATTTTTGCAATATGAATGTGCCAAATATGTTATTTTAAGAAATAAAGTGATTTGAATTGAAGTTATTAGTATTTTATTGCTATCTATCTTTAAAATTTCATATAAGTAATGAAATTCATTAAGATAAAAGATCTGTTAAAGATCCGCTAAAAAGTAACAGATACGGATTTTTTCCCCCCTCGGATATCCGTGGATACAGATACTGATATCCGGCACATCACTAATAGTGATACAGATTATTATGGACTGGTACAAATAATTTTTCAACATAGTCAACATGCTTGTCCAAACATTTATTCCAACCAAGGCATAGATGCTGGCAAAGAAGAAGTCCCTTTAGCCATGTCATGATGGCTTGCTGAACTTCCATATCAATTTGGAATCACCTACCACCCAGGTGCTTCTTCAATAATCCAAAGAGATGGAAATCACAGGGTACCAGGTTGGGGTTGTAGTGAGGATGTTCCAGTACCTCCCACATGAAGTGCTGTAACAATTCAATCATGTTCTTGGCAGAATGTGATCAACGTTGTCANATCCAGGGGCAGATGTTTGTTCAGACCATAATCCAGTAGTGGCTTGTATGAGAGTTAAGTTTAAGAAAAATAGTATTAAAAGAAGTAGAAATATAGATATAGGGAGGCTAAGAGATCCCAAAACAAAGGAAAATACTAAAAATGATATAAATGAAGGTTTCTCAAAAATAAGGAAAAAATTTTGCAAAAGAAAAAAAAAAAGAAAAAACAAATAGTGAAGAATTATGGAATAATCTGAGGAAAACTATAAACAATGTAGTGGAACAAAAACTAAAACCTGAGAAAACATTAAAAAAGAAAGAATGGATGTCAAAAGAAATATTAGAATTAATGGAAGAACAAAGACATTGAAAAAATAAAAATATTTTTAAATATAAAGAACTCCATATCACTATAAGAAGGAAAATTAAACAAGCAAAAGAAAATTGGATGAAAGAAAAATGCGAGGAAATTGAAAATTTGCAAAGAAAACATGATACGTATAATGTACATAAGAAAATTAAAGAGCTTACCAGAACAAATAGAAGAAATAAATTTACTAGTATTTTAAATGAAAAGGATGATTTAGTTTTGGAATTGGGGGAAAAACTGAAATTATGGAAAGAGTATGTTGAAAAATTATATTTTGATGAGAGAAATTTAAAACCTATAATAATTGATAAAGAAGAAGGACCAACAATACTAAAAGTAGAAGTAAAGAATGCAATTAGAACAACTAAAGAAGGTAAAGCTACCGGACCAGATGAAGTTCCCGCTGAAATTTTGAAATTACTGGATGAAGATAGTCTTGATATTTTAGTGGATTTTTACAACATTATTTACGAAAGTGGTGTAATTCCTCAAGATCTTTTAATGTCTACGTTTATAGCAATTCCCAAAAAAGATAATGCAAAAAAGTGTGGTGATTATAGAACTATAAGCCTGATGAGTCATGTTTTAAAAATTTTCTTAAGAATAATTCATACAAGAATATATAAAAAATGTGAAGAAGATTTAAGCAACACACAGTTTGGGTTTAGAAAATCTTGTGGAACAAGAGAAGCTCTTTTTGCTTATAGAGTTCTGGTAGAAAGAAGTTTAGAGGTTAACAAGGATATATACGCCTGTTTTATAGACTACGAAAAAGCATTTGATAGAATTCTGCATGATAAATTAATAGATATACTTGGGAAGAAAGGAATTGATAGAAATGAATTGCAAATTATAACAAATCTTTACTGGGAACAGAAAGCCAACATTTTAATTGATTCTGAATTATCTGAAGAAATAGAAATAAAAAGAGGAGTAAGGCAAGGATGTATTTTATCACCTTTACTTTTTAATATTTATTCAGATGAAATTTTTAAAGAAGCTTTAGAAGATATGGAACACATTGGGATTGTAATAAATGGGATGAATGTAAATAATATACGTTATGCTGACGATACAGTGGTTTTAGCAGAAAATATAAATGATTTGACAATACTAATGGAAAAGATTAATTCAATAAGTAAATTATATGGACTTCAGATGAATTATAAGAAAACAAAGCTACTTATTTCATGCAAGAAAAATATAGATAATGTAACGTTGCAGATACAAAACAGGACAATTGATACAGTTTCATCAATTAAGTATTTGGGGACTATCATACAGGAAGATGGCAGATGCATTAAAGAAATTAAATCTAGAATAGAAAATGCGAGAGGTACTTTTATCAGAATGCAGAAATTTTTCAAATGCAATGTTTTTAATTTACATCTTAAAATTAGAATGTTAAGGTGCTATGTGATGTCAGTTTTGTTTTATGGAGTAGAAACGTGGACCTTAGATAAAAATACGTTAAACAAACTTGAAGCATTCGAAATGTGGTTATATAGAAGAATTTTAAAAATATCTTGGACAGATAGAATAACAAATGAGGAAGTTTTGGAAAGAATGGGGAAAGAAAAAGAAGTTTTAAATACAGTTAAAAGAAGAAAGACGGGGTATTTTGGCCACATCATCCGAGGAAGTAAATATGAAATTTTGAGAAATATTTTAGAGGGAAAAATCTGTGGAAAGAAAAGCCCAGGAAGGAGAAGGAAAAGTTGGTTAGGTAATATATGTGAATGGAATAATAAGAAAGCAGAAGAACTAACACGTGAAGCACAATTGAGATTGTTATAATACTAGTCCTACATTCAGAAATGAATATGGAACCAGAAGAAGAAGAA